AACGAGCCACCCAGGCATCCCTACAAAAAAGAATTCTTAACAGTATTTTAGTAACTGCTGCTGTAAGTTTTAGAAAGCTAATGCTTTCACTGAATTAAGTACTCTGTCTTTGGCTTAGAATTCAGTATAAAATAGAGCATTCCACTGAACTCTAACAAAATCAAGAGTTACTTATCCTTAAGCTTTTTTCACTGAATCACTCTAATTGTGAGAAATTCTATGAGGATTAGAAAAATGATTGTTGTTTATATGATTACATCTTCAATGCCATTTTTTGACAATTATAGAAATACAGAAAAAAATGATATTCATCTGAATAAATAATGTTCCAAGCTAGAAATTAGCCAATAGGCAGTAAGTGATATTGGGCTCTTCTCTTGACTCACAAAACATCACATTTTAAGTGTGTTTCTCTCTTTGCTTTTATTTTTGCTGCCACTATCTGAAGATTAGAAAAATAATTCATATTTCTACTACATCTTTTTTTTAAAAATTTATTTATTTGACAGAGAGAGAAACACAGCGAGAGAGGGAACACAAGCAGGGGGAGTGGGAGAAGGAGAAGCAGGCTTCCTGCCAAGCAAGGAGCCTGATGTGCGGCTCGATCCCAGGACCCTGGGATCATGACCCGAGCTGAAGGCAGACGCCTAACGACAGAGTCACCAAGGTACCCCATATTTCTACTACATCTTAAGAAGAAATGAGACTCCCCAGAAGAACTGAAACATAGAAGAAAAAGACCAAAGTGAGACAACCTGGGGCAAAAGTACTGAACAAGGCTTCAACTCTAAACATTCAAAGTTATCAAAGAACACTGTTGGCCAAAAATCGCTCCTCAAAAGCTTGAGAAATCAGCCTTAACCTGTTGTTTAAAAATTCACGGGACAATTCACCATTCTGGAAATCTCAGTACCAAAGGTTCTTTCTTGGTTTTTAACTGATAGGGTAACTCTGCTGAAAACCAAACCGTGAGTATAAATGTGGCACACTGATTTTAAAGTGCAAAGAGAATGTTTTTTTGTTTTGTAAAGTAAACCAAACTCATCAGATCATGGGTCAAACAAGAAGAGATTTTTGTTGAATTGTTTTTTTTTTTTCTTTTTCAAAGAGCAACTAAAAAATAAAAGACAAAAACAAGAAAAAGCCCAGCTAAATGTTTCTCGACAATTCCACAAAAAAAAAGTTGGTAAGCTAAAATAAAGTTTGTATTAGGGGCACCTGGGTGGCTCAGTCGGTTAAGCATCTGCCTTAAGCTCAGGTCATGATCCCAGGGTCCTGGCACTGAGCCCCACGTTGGGCTCTCTGTTTAGTGAGGAGCCTGCTTCTCCCTCTCACTCTCCCTCTGTGCTCTCTTTCTCTCAAATAAATAAATAAAATCTTAAAAATAAAAACTTGTATTAGATAATGGGCTTATATTTAATACACATTGCCAACCTTTTTGTTTTAAGACTGATGCAACTAATGAACTGTTAAGGAAAAAAGTAGAAACACACACACACTTCTAATTTATTTAAAATTTATGAACTAAGCAGTAACTTGTTCTAGAAAGTAACTGCAAATGGAAACCACTTCATAAGTTTATTTTGAAATAATGAAAATTGGCCTAATATTCATTCTGTTACTTCAAGATATATAAAGGATTTAAAGTTTATTTTCAATTAAATTTACTTTAATTATCTCCACCTATTTTGTGACAATTTTCTTCACAATCTATTAAGAGATATGTAAAAAGTAAACTCTCTGCATGGACACTATAGAACTTGGATGAGTTTCTACTGCGTGACAGTGAGCAGCAAGGTTTCTACCTAAATCTCTAAGATTGCCAAGGGTGCAGAAGTCAGTCTTCAAGGCCATCCTTTACGAGCTTAGAAAGTATATAAAAAATTCATAAACATTAACACACATTTGTTTCAACTGGAGATATGCTGACTGGCGGAACAAAGAGTTGCCAGAGCAACGTTAGCTGTGCCTTCTCTCCATAGTCTCACTGCTTGATTTGTACCTCAGAGATACAAATTCATTCTCCACACAGGAAGCTCTTTTCTTGTTACCTTTAGGAGCAAGAAACTTTTTTTCCCTTTCATTTTCTGGCTGGATGAATAAAAATGATGATATAAACCGAAAATTTGAATTTTTCTTTTCATTGCTTCGCATGTGGCATTCCTTGTGTAATTCTCTGCCAAGTAATTTGGGAAGATAACATCTCCACTAGTGCTTCTCACCCAGACACGTGGCCTTGATATTTAAACTAGAGAAGAAAACTTTGAAAAGGGCCAATGTTTCTGTGTCCCTTCTTCTTTTCGGAACTTTCACACTGCCCAAGGCCAGTTCCTCCATGGGTGACACCCTTACCCCTCAGCGGTGAGAGCTGCGCACTGCACACGCTGCCCTCCCCTCCCTGCTCCAACACAGCTGCCCACCAGGTGCACAGCCTGCTTTCCTGGGTGGGGGTGGGGGGTGTACCCCCTGGCTTCCAAATTCCCTCTGGACACCTTGTTCCATGACCTCCCAGCTTATAAATCAGCCTCTTTTCCTCCATGGACTCTGTGTGTTACACACACAATCTGCCTACATTCCATTTCAGTCATTATTATAATACCCCAATTGGAGTCAAACACACAAAAAAACAACCCCAACCCCTTCTGGTCGAAGTCCACTCCTGGAAGCAACAGCCTGTTCTCTGCCCTCCCTCAAAGCACACACTTGTCCATCCGGCCTATCTCAGAGGCTGGCAGGTGGTAGTGGATCGGGTGTGTGGTCTTCTCACTCATCTCCCCCCAGCACCCCAACCTCTCCTTCTGCACTGGTGCCACACCAGCTTTTGTAAATCCAAGTCTGCTTAGATCTTTTGTTGCCTTCTATCCCGCAATCACATTCTGTCATTTTCTAGAGAAAAATCCAAATTCTTGCGTACGGGGGATAGTTTTTTACGATCTTATCTATTCAGCTCAGTATCTTAGCCCACCTCTAGCCTTGCCTACATCCTAAACTCCAGATGTCCAGAATCTGCAGCTGCACCTGGGGTTCTCCTTCCGGCCGTCCTCCCCACCTTGCACGCCCCAGCACATGCCTTTTTTTCTTCCAGGAGCACCCTTATCCCGAGTCCCCTGCCCAGTAGATTTCTACTTTTCCTACTACTGCCAGTTCACAAGTCGTCCTCTTTCTGAAACCTCGTGACCCTCTTCTCCCAATGTGGTCTGTGCTCTTCCTCTCACCTCACATGGCACCCTATGTCCTGTATTAGAAGCTCTTTAAAAACACCAGAATCTTATGACTTTATCACCAGCCCATTTCCCACTGCTTGGACAGTGATGGGCACCTAGTGTATGTGTGCTTACTAATCATACCAATTTTTATTCACTTTTCCTCTGCCTTCCCAAGTGCAGGACTTAAGTCTCTCATTGTCTGAACTGCCAGCACCTGGCAAGGAAACACCACACAACTAGATCTCTATAAAGATTAATGACTATTGAAGGAACCAGTACTATAACTTCCTCCAAACTTTCCCTGTCCCACTGATCCTGCAGGTAATGAAAGGTTATTTTCCTAATAAACCGAATTACCATGGTTCCTATCATCTATCCCACCTAGCTGACACTTTTACTGGCTTCCTATTACCTGTAGGATGAAGCCCATTTCCCTTGCTCACTGCGTTGTTTTTTTTTTTTTTAAAGATTTTATTTATTTATTTGAGAGAGAGAGCTTGAGCACCTGAGCATGGGACTAGGAGGAGGAGAAGCAGACTCCTCGCTGAGCAGGAAGCCTGATACAGAGCTCCATCTGATCCTGGGACTCTGGGATCATGACCTGAACTGCAGGCGACACTTAACCAACTGGGCAACCAAGGGGCCCCCTTGATTGGTTGGTTCTTTTGCAAAGAAATGCACTTTTCCTTGACCCTCACACACTTTCTCCTCCTATTTCACATCTCAACTTAGGCTTTCCCTGCCTACTCAAACTGTCTCTGCCTGAGTCTGTGACATTCACCTGATTAGTTTCTTAATATGCCCTTATTAGAGCTGAAATGACCTTCACAGGCTTTTTTATTTTTCCTAAGTGTTTTCCTATTGCCCCACCCCCCAACAAAGGGCCCTGGTTGGCTTTGTTCAATGCTGCATCCCCTGTCCTAGAGCAGTTCCTGGAACCAGAGGTTAGGTGTTGAGCAATTGTTCAGTGAAGGAAAGATTAAATGTGAAAATACTTCATGTTGGCATTCAAGTTTGTCACTGACTTGGCCCCACTCTACTTTCCCAGCCTTATCTCCAACCAATTTTCCATATGACACCTGTTTGTTATTTCCCAAATACTTCTCTTACGCTTCCTGATGGGGCCTTCTTTTTCTTCCTATTTAAATTCTCTTCATCTTTTATAGAAATTTCCTCTTTCATAATGCAATCTAAAGCGGTAAGCTCTTTAGCTGTATTATTTGTTTAATGTGGTAAATACCTTTCAATTTTCTCTGTCTTGTAATGGATTTTTTTGGAATGGAAATTAGTTTTTGGATTTTTTTGGAATGGAAATATGTTTTAAGTTATAACAAAAGATTAAAAATTCTTAGAAGGAAAAATTATCTATGCTAGGAGTTAATAAGATTCAGATCCTATCTTATCTCTTTTAAGAAAACTGCATGCCTTCTTCAAGTATACAAAGAGGTTTGCTTTCAGGTATAATTTGCAACATAATAGCTAAAAGGCTATATGTAAAATTCGTTAGTGACTGTTGGTCCTAGTAACAACTCAGATGTTCACTTTAATTGCAAATAATATTGGCCACTGAACATATTATGAAAAAGCAACCCAAAAGTAACTCAGCCAGTTTTTAACCCTGAGCCTAGTATAGTCCAATTGACTAAATAATTTGTCTTAAAATACAAACAAAAAATATATATAATAAACCACAAACATTTCTAGTGATAAGAACTATTAGGCAAAAACATGTGGGACTAAACATCAGAGCAGACAATACAACATATAACATGTAAATAAAAGAAACACGCCAACCTGGATACCAGCTTTGCAACATTAGCATCCTCTGCTGAATTCATGTCATCCCAGCAGGGTTTTCTATGACTTAGCCACAGGCTGACCTGAGGGACGCCATCACAGAGCTCTGGTTGTGGAACTCTATGAGCCTGAAGAGCTCCCTCACTCCTGGATTTGGGGATCTAGAAAATAAAATTTAAAAGAGAGAAAGACAGATTTAAAAATCTTTCAAATTAAGTTATTGAAGATAATTTACTCTAATTAGTAACCTAATGTATTAATAATATTCTAGAAAAATATCAACCTAGGTATAGAATTTAAAATACTTAGAAGAACTGTCATATGGCAAAAGGCACAGGGAAGGGGAGTAACCAATACTTTCAAGGGGAATGTTGAAACCATACACAGCCCATGTCCCTCTCCTGGATTCTGATACAAATCTTCCCCAGGATCACCCGCCCTCCCACCCCTTAGAATAACCATTCTGTGTAATGAGAGATTATGAGAGTATATCTGACTAGCATCCTGGAGTGAAGGAAAGAAAAAATAGAAAAAGGCAGGGGGAAAAGGGGGCTGAGAAACACTGAAATGAAGGATGCCATAGTCAGGAAGGCATCCAGAAATATTTACTACCAACAAGCAAAATATATACCAGTTTGCTAATAGTTCCTGTTGTAATCTTCTTTTATAAGGCAAAATATGGTGTAATACATTTTTAACTAAGGAAATAACTAGGAAAAACCCCACCTTTTTAGTTCTCTTATATCTCTGGAAGCATGGGTTGCACAGTACCAAACAAACACTGGTATACTGACTTCTCTTATCAGAAGTTTTGTCCTCTGTCCAACCCCAGAAATACCCTCATGCTTTTATATTAGATCAGAAGGAATGTGAATACAACCTATGTCCTTCTCCTAAAATTGTGTAAAAATCACATGAGTGTTTCAGGAAAGATTCAAACCCTTGGATCAGTTGTATTTGTTATACTGGACGCTTTTTCTCATGTCAAAGCTTTCTTTTTTAATTTTTTATTTATTTATTTTATTTTATTATTTATTTATAATATTTATTTTTTTATGTCGAAGCTTTCTTATGCTTGTCCTTGAACTGGATGGAATGTCATCTGTTCATCACAGGCTACTCACCAACTGCCCAAGACCAAACCAAATCTTAACTTCCTTAGAGGATGAGATAAGAATCCACTGCCCACAGAGCTTTTCTAATTAACCTCAGGTCTTAATGACCTTTCCGAACTTTGAATTCTTGTAATACACCACCACAGAATCTATGCTTGATTTCATGTCATCTGATACCTTCATCTTAGTTGTTTTATATTTCTAGGTTATATGGCCTCAACCAGAGGCCTGGAGACAGAGATTATAGTGTCATGTTCTTTCTCTTTCTCTCCTCTCCCTGTCCTTCTCTACTTCTTAAGGATATCATCATCATTATTTTTTTTGCACTTGATTTTTCAACATTATTTACTAATTTCTTTTTTGTTGTTGTTGTTGTTGTTTTTTAAAATTATTTATTTTTTTAAAATTTCTTTCCAGTGTTCCAGAATTCATTGTTTATGCACCGCATCCAGTGCTCCCTGTAATACATGCCCACCACCATGTTGGGTGAGCCTGGATATCATTATTGTTAATGTTTGAGCCATCAAGTCTAGCAAAGTTCTGAACCATTAATATTTATTGTCAGACAACACAGTTTGCCACTACAAGATATTCCCAAGATAGCGACTGACCAAGAAACTAGGATAACAGGCAATTTAAAAAAGAAATATAGGGAAAATTATAAGCATAGATATTCAATAAGCTCATATCTTTATGAGGATTACCTAAAAATAACTTTGAAAATAATTTAGCAAATAGTTACATTTAGTACAGAGCAAAGTAAACACTCAGTAAAAACTAGCTTTTATTAACATTGTTGTTATGTGAAATTTGCCCGAATCTGATGATTACTAATGAACGATTCCATTGCATTTCTCTGCAGAACTTTTATAAGTTCATGAAAATCAAGGATAGCAAGGCAAAATTTTTTTAAAAATATGAACTACAGAGTTCATTGAGATATTTGCCAAGATTATTTATGAAAGAAATATTAGGGCACCTGGTGGCTCAGTCAGTTGAGCATCCAACTCTTGATTTTGGCTGAGGTCATGATCTCAGGGTCTGGGATTAAGCCCTGCACTGGGCTCCACGCTCAGCAGGGAGTCTGCTGGAGAGTCTCTCTCTCCATCTGCCCCTCCCCCGACTTGTGTTCACTCTTTCTGTCTCTTGAATAAATCTTTTTTTAAAAAGAAATATTTAGATAAACAGCAAGAGGACATCTGAAAAGTACAAATATATACTGTTATGTATTTCATAAAGGGACTCTTTTTGCATGTGATTATTTTTCATAAGAGTAGACAGGAAAAATAAACACACCAAAAAAGCAGTGAGATTTCAAACTAATTAGCTAAAAAATTCTCATACCCAGACTTAATTCTCTCTTAATATTAAAACAAATACAAGAGCAGTTGTTTGGCAACATTTCATGGTGTTAAAATAAGGACACAGCATCTTAGGTGCAGTGATAATTTGGGGGTTCTAAATTCATTTCAGTAGTTTATGCAAAGGATAAATATATATATTTTTTCAGATTTTAATTATTTATTTGACAGAGACAGAGAGAAAGCCAGAGAGGGAACACAAGCAAGGGGAGTGGGTGAGGGAGAAGCAGACTTCCTGCCAAGCAGGGAGCCTGATGTGGGTCTCGATTCCAGGACCCTGGGATCATGACCTGAGTCGAAGGCAGACGCTGAACTGAATGAGCTTCCCATGTGCCCCACAAAGGAGAAATATTCTAAGTTAAAAGGTAATATGTGGCTGATTCCATTTTTGTCAGCTTATATTAAAGGAGACTACATAATGCAAATCACTTAAAATTCAGATACCAGAAACTACAACAGCTACGTACACAGAAAGTATATTTTTGTGATGATTTAATCTCTATAGAAATAAACAGGACTGTCATTAACCATAAACTTCAAAATATAAACTAATTATTAATAATATATACCAAAGAAGTACAAAGGACTAAACTTGTGCACAGAACATGAAAATACCACATGAAGTTTATGAGAGAACAAAATTGATAGAAAAGAGTAGTGCAGTAACTCTAGACTACTAGCACTATAGAGTATGTGTATGTGTATATATATATTTTTTTTCTTTTTTTTTTAAAGGAATGAATGTTTTTAAAGGGGATTAATGATATAGTCTTGAAGATGTACCTTGGAGGCTATACATTTTCATTGCATAAATTACTATAGGAAAACTAGAGTGATGAAATTTTAAAACCTGCTACCTTATTGATGTTATAAATTTTAGTACAAATGTATGAACTTTGAGAAAAGGAAGGAGGTCACTTTCTTTGCCTTAGCTGGAATTGAGCTTTTTAGAAACACATGATTTGAGCCTTGGCCTTATTGGGTAGGTAGAAGAGATAGTTTTATTTTTATGCTCTGAGTATCCATCTCAGATTGTGTCAAGTTCAGCGGTTGACTTTGAGATGGTACTCAGTACTCCTTTCATCATAACTCTCTGAGGAGGAGTAGGACCTCAGTCATCCAAGACAAAGGATACAAGAAGACATGCTATTACAGTTGTAGTTTAAAGCAGTGGTCCTTACCAGGAGCCAGTTTCTGGAGACATTTCTGGTTGTCATGCTGGGGGAGAGGGTGTATGCTACTGGAATCTAATAGGTAGAGGCCAGGATTGTGACTAACCCTCTTTAAATGCACAGGATAGCCTGCCATGAAAAAGAGTTATCTGGCCCAAAATGTTAGCAAAGCTGGACCTGAGAAACCCTGCTTCAGGAAATGTAAGAAGAAACCTGACTGATGTAACTCCTCTCTTTATATACTTTTCTTCTGGTTCCACCTTCCCATTTTTGCCATTGGCATGTTAAGAGGTAATGGGCCCAGATCAGCTTTAGGTTTAGTGGAAATGGGCCAAGGAGGTCACCTAGATTTGCTCTTTCTAATTAAGGGCTGTTCCTGATTCCATGAGGTTCAGCCAAACTCTGTGGGGCAGGGACTTCAAATAGCACTAAAAGTCTTACTCTGATAAATGGAGCTGATGTGCTTGGAGAGACCCACCTGCAGCCTCCCTCATGACATGTGGCTACAGTAAGCAAATGGCCAACAATCTGAGATGCTGACTGAGGTGCCAGCTTTCTCTTTCCACTGGAGATATGCATTTTTCACACCACACTTTGCTGCTCTATTTTAGTGATTTCTTCATGATAACTTTTGTTCTTTTTCCTTTTTTAAAAGATTTTATTTATTTGACAGAGAGAGACACAGTGAGAGAGGGAACACAAGCGGTGGGTGGGGGGCAGAGGGAGAGGGAGAGGCAGGCTTTCTGCTGAGCAGGGAGTGATCCCAAGACCTTGGAATCATGACCTGAGCTGAAGGCAGGCGCTTAATGACTGAGCCACCCAGGCACCCTAATAACTTTTGTTCTTGAAGGTGAAAACTATAACCCGCCACCCCCCTCCCCACTCCCGCCAACCACCTATAGAAGACATTTTGCTCAGAAGAATCTGCCACTGAGTTAAGGATCTAGGCACATGCTGTGTGATCTGTGCATTCCAGGGATTGTAAAAAGAGCACATTCCATGCATGTATTTGCAGGCACGGAACAGACTAACACAAGGAATCTGAGCTGCTCTGGAGTTTGAGACGCCATAGGAATAGAAACACAAGAGTAACTTTTGACAATGTAAAACTAGGAAATATTCTCTTAGGTTTTGCTGCTGTTACCGTTATAAAGATTTAGTGAACATTTCTCTGTGTTAAGCATGGTTCCAAGACTTGATTTACGTCAGTTAGTCCAGTTAGTTGTCACAGCAACCCAAAGAGGCAGAGACTATTATTATTACCATCTAACTAATGAGGAAATGGAAGCGTCAAGAATGTGAGTTATTTGTCCCATTGAGTGAGTGGCAGCGCTATAAACCCAGAGGGTCAGACCTCAGTACTTGTGCTTACCACTACTTTTTATATTTGGTTACATGTGAAACATTAGAATTGCAAGAAGAAAAGAAACTTTGGGATGAAAGTCACATTGCATCCTGTATTGCAAACCATTTTTTTCCCCTCCTCCTCCTCCTTCTTCTTCTTTTTTTTTTT